TAAAGCAAGATGTGAGAATTAGCCAATAAGAAGCTGAAAATAATGGGCCAGGCAGTGTTTAAAAGAATACAGTTTCCGTGTAATTATTTTGGGTAAAGCTAGTCGGGCAGCAGGAACGCAGCCCGCCATTCCTTTTGCAACACATATAAATACAAGAAAGACAGTAAGAGCGTGGACTATCATTGACAGAACTAGGCTTGGGGAGAGGCAGTGTATGATGGCCTGTTCATTGAGGACTACATTCACGGGAGAGCTAAAAAAGATTTTGATTCATCAAGGACCTCAAGACTTAGTCTAGGCTTTTAGTGGTTTTCCCAAATGTCATGGTGGTATGTGATCTTTATAAGTTAGGGTACATGTTTTTGGCAGATATGAAATATTTCAACTGGCTTAAAAATCATATTCATAAAGTACTATAGCAACCAAGGGGGATGATATAAGGGCAACACAAACAAAGGAGTCTTTCTGGGTCACTTGAAAGAAATGCTAAGGTTTGGATTAACCTGGAAATCCTTGGGAGGATTAAAAGATAACCAAATATGGCAGTAGTGAACCCCTGGAAGTCTTTGATACTTGAGCAATAGTTTATGAAGGGCAAAAATGATAAAACAGTGCAGATAAAAAAGGATTAAACTTGTGCTAGGATTAAGTAGTTATTCTCCCATAGTATATGGTATGTATTTTTTCCCCCACAAAGTAAGGTATTGAGGGTAGAGATTGTTCCTAATTCTTGTGTCCTTTCAGCAGGCAGCCCTTTAAATCTTACATTAATTCCTCTATCAACATCCTCATTCTCCAAATCATTCATTTGCATAAATTCAGGCAAGGCTAAAAAGAACTATCAAATACCAAAAGATGGTCTTCTTGCTTCTATTGATTAAGATACCCAAGTATTTTAAAAGTATTTGTGTCAGTACAAATATAACTGAATGGATTATTAAAAATGCTGGATGATCCCCAGCGGTGGCAGGCAGCAGAAACACTTCAAGTCCCCAAGCGTTGGCAGGGGGCCATGTGGTGGCAGGCCGCGGGCCCTGAGAGCAGCTAGTCCCTGGCAAGGATGGCTGCAGGTCTCTGAGCTATGGCTAGTCCCAGGTAGGGAGACACACAGCAGCGGGCAACACAGACATGGATAGGCATGTCATGCGGAGTGAGGTTGGATATTTATTCAGTGAGTTATGGAGGGAGAAGGGGAGAAGAGGGGAGAGAGAGAGAGAGAGAGAGAGAGAGACAGACAGAGAGAGAGAGGGAGACAGACAGACAGACAGACAGACAGAGAGGGAGACAGAGAGAGAGAGAGAGAGAGAGAGAGAGAGAGAGAGAGAGAGAGGAGAGAAGGGAGAGATGAAAGCTGCTTCTCTGAGAGGGAGATGGAAGAGAGAGAACTCAGGCTTAAACCTGAAGATCAGCCTGTCTCTGCAGATAGGGAGGGAGTGGGCATGGCATGTCTCTTAAAGAGACAGAACAATCATTACAATAACCAAGCATGCTTCTTCTCTCATCTATATGACTTACTGTTTAGGAGCTCCAGGCCACAAAACAGACAACCACTTCTTATTATGTTACTCTGTATCTGCATCCATTGTGATGATCAAGCAAGTTAGTAAAGTTCCCAATTTCACACTCACACCTAAGTCCTTAGATTAGCTATAATTGTTATTTGTTTTGAAGTACCAAAGTTCCTCTGTTTTGTCCTCCACCTCCATCTTGTGTCTTGTGTAAGCTATTTCCTATAAAACATTCCAGTTCTCAGAAATGGGCTAGGTGCAAAAGTAGCAGGGTAGCTAACTGGAAAGTACAGATAACCATAGAATGGCCCAACCTGAAGGTCAGCCAATAAGAAAACTTGACAAGCAACAGGTGAAGTTCTAAAATAAAAATTTGTGAAAAGTCCCCAGAGATGAGCCAATCAGGATTGAACCTTTTACCCCAAACCCTGCTAATGTAACTTTCCTAGTTTTTGCCTTTAAATAATGCTCTCTAGAAGGGTGGAGTATCTCCTTTCACTGCTGTAGATAGGATCACCTGCCAGTACACACTCACCAGGACATCCTAGACAAATGTCAGCCAATCAGGGGTCCTAAACCTCAGAAACCCCTCACCCCCACCCTTACTACTATAAAAACCTATTCTAACTGAGCTTGGGGCTCTACGTTTATTCCAGTACGCTGGACATGCGGGGAGATCAAGTTTGAAAACTTACATAAAATAAAGGCTCTTTTCTTTTATATACAGGACTTGGTTTCCTTTTTGGCTTTTGGGGGACTTCACAGATCTGAGTATAACAACAATAACCCTTGTTTTTGCATTTTGGTGAGTCGATCTCCCTGGTGGTCTTTTGGGGTCCCCATAGACTGAGCACAGCAGCTTGAATTTCAAATTGGAGTTTCTGAGATCCAGGTGCTTGTGAAAGAAAAGTACCTACTGTGTTACTTTGCTCATCACTGTGACAAAATACCTGATAGAGCATTTTAAGACTTGGCTCATTGTTCAGAGACTATAGTCAATGATAGGTATAGACAAGAGGGAAGGCATGAGGTGGAACTGGCACCTGTCTGCTGCAGTGGGGGCGAGACAGATGGTCACTTTGCATTGGCAGGCTGGAAGCAGAGACCTGATGTAATGATCTGTCTCTTTAAGAGACAAGCCATGCCCACTCCCTTCCCCATCTGCTGAGACAGGCTGATCTTCAGCTTCCAGCCTGAGTTCCTTCTCTTTTTCCATCTCCCTCTCAAAGAGACAGTTTCTGCCTCTCCCCACTTCTCCCCTTCCCCACTCTGTCTCTCCTCCCCACCTCTGCCTCTCTGCTCTTCTCCTTCTCCCCCTTCCCTTCCATAACCCACTTAATAAATATCCAACCTCACTCTGCATGGCATGCCTATCCATGTCTCTGTCTTTTGTCGGGCCACCACTCGGGGACCTGCAGCCGTCCCTGCCTGGGGCCCACTACCTGCTGCCACATGGCCTGCTACCACCACTTGGGGGCCTGCAGTATTTCTGCTGCCTGCTGCCGCCAGGGATCCTGCAACATTTTTATTAATCCATTTCACCTGGGAAGAGAAGCAGGACTAGGCTATAAAGTACAGGGCTATCCAAGTGGCCCACACAGCCATCTACTCTGCATCCCAAAGGTCCCACAATCCCCCAAACAATTTCACCCTCTGGGAACCAATGTTTAAATACATGAGATTGAGACAGACATTTTACATTCAAATCATAGCAGTTACATTCAAATCATGCAATAAGAACCAAAGCTGGGTTTCTGTTTTTCCTCATTCTCACTGGCGTTTAATTTCACTTGATTTGGGGGACCAGAGAAGTGGCTCAGTGGGAAAGGTAAAGGTTCTTGCCATGCAAAGCTACTTCATGTTTTATACTTAGATAAAGATTGCTTTCTTTTAATAATGTAATATTAGAAGTCGCAAAATCATATAGATATATTATTGTCAAGATACCTCGTCACAATTCTCTTGAGCAACAATACTTCCTCTTGACTAGGTGCTAAAGTTTCTTCCTTAAGCAGCTTTTTCTTAATGTTGTTGGAAGATTGTAAGTTAGCTACATAACAAGTTGAACCTTGTAAGCTTGGAATAACCTTTTCTTTTCTTTTTTTCTTTCTTCTTTTCTTTTCTTTTTTTCTTTCTTTTTTTTTTGGTTTTTAAAGACAGGGTTTCTTGGCAGTTTTGGAACCTGTTCTGAAACTAGCTTTTATAGACCAGGCTACCCTCTCACTCACAGAGATCTGCCTGCCTCTGCCTTTTGAGTGCTGGGATTAAAGGTGTGTGCCACCACCGCCCAGCCATAATACCATTTTCTTAATAAAAACCAAACTTTGTTTCACACTAGTTAATCCTTTAAGTCTTTTCTGCCATGTGAGTCAAGGCTCTGGCTGCACTTGTGTAGAGGTCTCTGAAAAGAACTCTTGGAGCTGCATAGAGCCCACAACATCTAACAGCATCTTCTTTTGCCAGTGACAAGACTTTCTAATATCTTAGGTAAGCTACTTATATAATCCTATCATAAAACGTTGTGGTGGGTATCATTATTTTTATTTTATACATGAAGAGTTTAAAGTAGAAGCAATACATTGTCTAGGGTTATGTAGCTAATAAGTATGAAACAGAAGAAGAACTCAGACAGTAAATTCCAGAATCTACACCATTTCTGATGGGTTTGGGGGTCAGAAAGAATGATTTGTATTTTGAATTCTGAAAGAACAGAAACTTAATAATATCCATATGAGAATTAGTCCTGAAGATGTCCATGGTGATGCTCTCTGATGCTGACATCCTTGTGTCTTCTTGCACAGTGCATCAGTGTGGTGGATATGATATGTGGCAATTAGTGTCCAAAATTTGGACTCTAAAGCTTGATCTTGAGAGACAATGTTACTTCTTTATGCTGTTTGTCTTGTCAGGAGAAAGCTAGCTGCATTCAGTAGCTCTACAGAGGAGTCCACAGGTGAGAATGTGGGACTTTTGGTCAATTACCAGTGAAGCTTGAGTGTGCTTGGAACCTGACCTTCCAGTGGCACCCAGACTTTCAAATAACTACAGTCTTGACTGACATTTTAGTTGAAACCTCATAAAAGACCTATACTAGAACCATTCAGTTGAATTCAAGTTGAATTCAGTTGAATTGAGTGACGGAAATAGATAATCCATGTTAATAATTTAAAACTACGGGTAACAGGCTAATGTGTTATGCGTAAACAGATAGTTAACATAATACAGTGCAAACAAAAGGTGGCTTTAGTAGAAATAATGGTGCGGATGTTTGAGGAAAATGAATAAGAACTAACCAGACCCTCGCTCCAACTCTTCCTGAATAAGAATTAAGATTTGCCAGGGAATCCCACAACTACGCTTAAGGAATCCAGTAACAGAATCTTTTAAGTCAGACGTGTGATAGCTTTGGGGGAACAAAACCTCTGTTCTTAGAAGCTTCAAAAGGTTAGGCATGTCCACATGTCCCAATATACCAATTAAAGAGATGATTAATAACAAAAGGAAGAGAGGATCTTTATTCAATGTGACCACACTGAGAATTACAGCTAAAAAAGATTCAGTGTCTGCATCCTGTTTGTTTTCAGGACACTGACATTAGCTCCAGGTTTATACAGAGGAAAAATGGGCAGGGACAAAATGTATTCATAATTAAACAGTCTTGGTCACGTGTTGATTCAGTTGATCATTGTCTCAGCTGATTCTGCAAAGTGGTTTGAAGAAGTCTTTATTGTTTGAAGGAGAGCCATCTTGTTCCCACATGAACATTGCTTCTATTCCACAGTATATAGAACTGGCATCCTTGACAATTAACTTCATTTGTGTAGTGGTTGTCCTCTGAGGCTGACATGGGTAGCTTTTGTCCCTTGTTATAAAGATGTCTATCAATCAGACTTATGACTGCAATCAATGGTAACTTGAGGTTTAAGGACAAAGAGGAGAACTTTAGGTGCCTTTGGCGATCTGAAATAAGATAATGTAAGATAAAGGAGAGGTACAAAGTGAAGGTGGGAATGCCAGGTTTTCCCACCTAGTCACCTTAGTAATTCAAGTGATCGATGCGTTTTTGAAAAACAGTTTCTAACCACTCATTATAGAAAAACCCATACCAAAGTAATAGACTATTTTACCAGCAAGGGTTGTTTACGGGAATCATGAAGAAAGACACCAACCGTGTAGTTCAGGCAGTTAGAACTCCACTTTGGATACAATTAAGCCAGAAAAAAAAGATAGCACTGAAATATAGATCCTTCATCGGCCACAAATATGTCTCTGTAAAATCTAAAAAAAAAAAAAAAAGAAAAGTCTTAGTAATTTTTGTTTTAGGAAGAAAGGATGAACTGGGAAGAGAAAAGAGGGTTACATCTTTAGTCTATGTTTTATAAACCATAAATTACTAAAATACCTTGAGTCGGCAAAAACAAATTTTCACCTGAGATAGAAATTTGAGATAAAGAATAAAAGCAATTTCAGTTATAGAGAAATGAAATTATTTACAAATTTTTGTACATCCAATATTTGCAGTCCCAATCTTCATACTCACTGTTCCAGGTTTGATAGAGACTTCTTTATTCTAGAGCAAGAGAAAAGAATTAGATCAATGCTGACATAAAATAGCAATGCCAATTTTCTTTTATTATTCTTTAGAATGTGTGGGAATAAATCTTAATGGAGAACAGGATCTCTGCATTGCAGTATGATTCCAATTCCTACGGACATACTCTCAGTGTCCCAGGGAGTGGGTCTCACCATTTATAAACCATTAAGCTTATTCTATTCTCATAGCAAATCTAGAAGGCACTTAGTACCATTAACAGCATTTTAAATAAACAACCAAGTGCCACGTGTCACAGACAGTCTGGTTCTGGAATCCATAAACTTAAGAACTTCCTTCTTAAGAGCTCCTCAGGAGATTGTTGTAAAAGGCTGCTTGTTCATTTCTCGGCCACCCAGACTCCCAAAATAATCACAGAGAAACTGTATTAATTAAATTACTACTTGGTCAATCACTTAAGAGTATTGCTAGCTAGCTCTTACGTCTAGAATTAACCCATTTCCATTATTTTATATTTTACCATGAGACTTGTTGCCTACTGACAAGGTTCCAGCTGACAGCTAGCATATTTCCCCTCTGATGACTACGTGCATCTCCTGACTCCACCTTTTTTCTCTCTATATATCTCTTCCAGCCTGTCTATATTTTATTAAGCCATTGGCTGAAAGCAGCTTCTTTATCCATTAACCAATAAAAGCAACACATATACAGAAGGACTTCCCATACCAGGAGATATTTTATATTTTAAGTATTTTATTTCCAGTAAATCAGATTCATCCAGATAACATTGGTTATACTGAAAAATGTGTTAATTTTGGTGATTATTCTGTTCTACGTGGCCTCCCTTTTCAAAGTGACTGGCATTGACTGTGACAACGGCGGTCCTGGCTGTGGAGTAGGAGACTTGCAAACATGTAATTGGAAGAGCTGGTGTCATCTGAGAATCAAGAGCAGGTTTTAAATAGCTCTCAGGGACCAAGCTGATCTTTTCAAGGCCAAGTTATCAAAAATAGTTTCCTTGGTTTGTGTTTGACCTTTCCTGTTCTCAGAGGTTGATCTTTGAAGGCCATTCTGTTTATGATTCTCTCAAGAGGCAGAAACAGACGAAGTAATGTCATTCTTATTTATGAACACAATTGAAACAATCTACATACTGTCAAATAGGATGGTTGCACAGAGTCCAGGGAGGACCATGAGTTTCCAAATTTGGGAGAAACACCTTTTTACCAAATCTTTGGCAAAACAGGGCCTCAGAATCACATCCTGCCTTTTCTAGAACATTCAGCCAAAAATATAATCTGATGGTTCTACTCCCTTCTTTTAATTAAGCCTGATTTGAATATTTCTAATCAATTTAATGAGCTTTCCATTAAGAAAAAGATCAAACCTGTATGAAAAATCAGCAGGGAAGAAGAAAAGTGATTTCTATGTAGTGCTTTCTGTATTCCCCAGTTCTTATGTAGAATTTTTTTGACATGTGAAGAGTGAATTAATAAAGCTAGGGTACATTCAAAATAATTAGGGAGCCAAGTTTTAGTATTATTTGCCATTTAAGAAATTGAGTTGTTGGCCAAGGGAGTCCCATGGAAATCCCCAAACAGCACAGGCTGATGCTAAGACTAAAGGTTGTTCTCTAAAAACTGACATTGGGGGCATCCATTGCTGAAGACAACACCTACATAACTCATTGAAAATGGAGAAGTTGACCTGGTGTTTACATGGAGCCTTCATCCCTCTGTTCTAGTGTCTTTGGCACAAGAAGGTACTCTACAGCCTACCAAAAGAAAAATATGGACACTAGCCCAGTCATAAAACCTTTTGACCTACAATCTATTCTGCCTACATAATAAGCTAGGACAATAGTGGCACAGAACTTGTGTGAGTAGCCAACCAATGTCTGATTTGACCTAAGGCCCATTCCACAAGAAAGAAACCATACCTGACACTGCTTGGGTAACTAAAACCAGAGACTAGATGGCCCAGAGACCTAGAGTAAAACCAAATAGGACTAGCCTAAAAAAATATTAGTAAGATTTTATGCCTTAACAATTCCTTGGTAAGAATTCATATACTGCCTCACATTCTCTTCCTTTCTGTTAGAAATTTTCTTACTATATTAATAATTCATGATATCTCTTCATTTTAAAAAAATCTCATGGAAGAATTTTTTTGTAAAACGAAATGGATAATTTTTTTCTTTTTTTTAAAAAAAGAATATTATGTAACTGTATTAGTTACCTTTTTTGTTGTGACAAATTACCTGACACAGACAACTTAAAGAAGAAAGAGTTCACTTTGTCTCCATGTTTCAGAAGGTCTCAGTTTATCATAGTAAAGTCAGTGGGGTGGAAGGGCTCTCTGTGGTGACAGGGGTTTGTGTCAGCAACTGTTTCCTACGGTGTAGACTAGACAGCTAAGAAAGCATAACCAGTGGCCTGTAGAGTCTTCAAAGGCCTGCCTTTACTGACCTATCTCTTTCAGCCACGCTGCATATTCTAAATTCAAAATAGTGTCACAAGCTGAGGGAGCAAGTGTTCAAGATGCAAGCCCATTGAGGAGAGATTAGTCTCAAACCATAACAGCAACATTGGTCCAGACAGAAAAAAGAAACATGGCTTATTGTTTTCTTCTGTAATGAGATCTCTAAGTTCCTACCTAGAAAAAAAATTATAATTTTATGAAACATTTAGTCATGACCTTTATGGTGGTTTGGATAAGAATAGTCCCATAGGCTCTCATATTTGAATGCTTGGTTATCAGGGAATAGAACCACTTGAGAGGGATTATGAGTGTGATTTTTGTTGGAGTACATGTGGTCTTGTTGGAGGATGTGTGTCACTGAAGGTGGGATTTGAGGTTTTAAAATCCCAAGCTAGGCCAAGTGTCTCTCTCTTCCTGCTCTCTGCAGATCTGAATGTAGAACTCTTAGCAACTCTACAGGACTATGTCTGTGTGCTGTCATACTTTCTGCTATGATGATAGTGGTTCAAACTTCTGAAACTGTAAACAAGCTCCAATTAAATGTTTTCTTTTATGAATTTCCCTGGTCATCCTGTCTCTTCACAGCAATAGAACACTGATTAAAGCAATTTTCAACTATTATTAATGAACATGCCATTTGGTTTAACTTTCTTGGTAGACTGAATGCAACCTAATACTGCTTATTTTATTAAGTTATGATTGCAAGTCCAGTTTTATTCAAAGAATGGAATAAATGGCATTTTATTTTCTTTATAATAGCTATAGGAATGAATTACCTATTTCTAGGAGTTTTGATCACAACTAATGTATGTGAACCATTAGGTGTCATAGTTTGGGTTTAAAAGTTCCCCAAAGAAAGTGATTGAAAAAGTCCCCCCACAGAACGATATCTTAAAGGTTAAGACTCCAGATTGGTGCTACAGAGAGATTATGGAAGCCTGCAATAAGTGGCTATCCCACTAGACACTGTTCAAAGTCTTAATTAGAGCAATTAAGTCAAGAGAAAGAAATAAAAAATATTACAGGAAAAGATGAGTTTATCTCCATGGGCAAGCACCATGATCCTATACTTGAGACCCTAAAAACTCTTCCAGAAAACTCTGACTTTTTAAATATTTTCATCGAGGTAACAAGATATAAAATCAGGACAAAAATTAGTAATATTCACATGACAAAAATTTGATAAATGATCCTATTCATAATGACTTCAGAAAAAGAACCCATAAATACCTAGGGGTAAATCCAACCTTGAAGGTGAAGATCTTTACACTGGGGACTTTGAGACACTGAAGAAAGAGAATGAATAAGGCACCAGGACATGGAAACACTTTCCATACTCATGTATTGATAGAATTAATATTGTAAAAATGGCTATATGCTGAAAGCAATCTATACATTTAAAACAATTCTCATCAAAATCCCAATGACATTCTTCACAGAACTGACAAAAACAACTCTAAAATTTATAAGGATGCAAAAAGGACTCTGAATTATCCAGTGAATCCTTAGCAAGAAGAGAAATGTTGAAGTTACCACAATACCTGACCTCAAACTTTGCTACAGAGTCATGGCAAATGATACTGGCACGAAAGAAGACAAGTAGACCGGCGGCATAAAATTGAGGATCCAGAAATAAAACCTCAGAGCTACAGCTGCATAATTTTTTTAAAACAGGTTTCAAAAACATATATTTGAGAAAGGAATCTTTAAAACAAATGATACAAGTAAAACTCGATTTCCACATGTAGAAGAAAGAAATTAGATTCATATCTGTTACTATATATGGAATAAGATGACCACTTATTCATTACTGGTGGGAATGTGAGATTATACAGCCTCTATGAGAATCAGTATGGGGATTTCTCAAAAGACTTCAAATAGAAATACTATGTGACTCAACTGTCCCACTCTTGGGTATATACCTGAAATTCTCTAGGCTAATATGTCACAGAAATACCTGCACATCCATGTTCATTGCTTCTCTATTCACAATAACTATGAAATGGAATCAGTCTAGATGTCCATGAGCAGATGCATGGATAAAGAGAGAGCATTATATATGCACTATGGAAATTTATTCTGCCAAAAAGAAAAATAAAGACATTGGCAAGAAAATAAGTGGAACTAGAAATCATTACGTTATGCAAAATAAGATAGACTTTGAAAAGCAAATCCCATTTATTTTCTTTCATATGCTGAACCTAGAGTAAAATTACATATGAGATGTATATATAAATAAAAGTGT